CAACAGTGTGGACTTTCGCAACAGTGTGGACTTTCGCAACAGTGTGGACTTTCCCCACAGTGTGGACTTTCCCCACAGTGTGGACTTTCCCCACAGTGTGGACTTTCGCAACAGTGTGGACTTTCCCCACCCTTATTGGCCTGCCCTTGTCGGTCGTAATGAGGGGGTAATTTAGCAGTGAGTAATTTGACAGTTTGTTGTGAGGTGTTGTGATAGTAGTGATTGATGGCGAGTATGTCGGCGTATGAATTAGTGGTGCGTCGATCTTCGACGAAGAGAAGTGTGAGTCCAGTAATTAAGTTTGCGGTGAGGATGAGTGCTGCCGACACAACATCATTCCGTCCTCCTACATGGCACCACCAGTGTATGGCGGTCCAGAGATAAATGCTGGTGAGTAATGAGCGTAGGTAGCATGTTGCTCTATCTAGTAGAGCGGCGAATCTTTCCATATCGGTGAAACGCAGTGTGTGTGAAGCGCACACACTCGCACGTTTAAGATGACAGCATTTTAATGTCTTTCGCCCACTGTCCGCCAACACCACACCTAACATCAACTGCACTGCAGCCCAGAGAGCACTCGTACCTGAGTTCGCAACACATGAACTCATGCCCACTATCAATGACAGCAATACACGACTCATCTGACGATCCACAACATCCACCACCGATACTAACGTCAAACCACTTGTTAACATGTGCAAATGAGACGTCATAAAGAAGTACCACACAACCTGCAACATCGATGAACCTATCACCAACACGGGACATACCACACTATCCTTCATACTCGAATAAATACAACCTGCAGCACCCACCAACAAACTTTGCAGCATCAACGGACTTAACATCAACAAGTCAGGTCCACGTGTACGCCCTGCTGCGGGATTCACGATCGCGGGATTCGCGATCGCGGGATTCGCGATCGTCCCAGTTGTGACACCCGGCGTGCTGGGCGTTAGGAGGGCGGTGGCGGCAGTGCTAGGTGTATGTGGCAATTCAAGGTCGAGTTGCAAGGCTGTTGTCCGTGGTGTGAAGTTTTCTAGCGTGGTAAGTGGATGTGGAGTTTCGAGTAACGGTGTGTTGAGTAAGTCAAAATTTGACTCGCCTCGACGTCGTGGATGCAACAGATAATCAATGACTAGGACGAGAAGCAATCCAAGACCGCCAGCAATTGCTAACAGCCTACTCGCAGTCGCATCATAGATCCATTGATCTATACTCACACGATCCAGTGAAACTGGTGTTGCACGAATACTAAACTCTTCTCGTCCCCAAGACTTCAAGTCCTCTCTAAACCCTAAATCCACGACGTGACCTATATCGAAAAACCACGTATCGCTTTCCTGGAAGAAGTTTCGAACTGTCGACCAACGCTCTTCCAATGGAACGCAACGTGTCGGCACATATAACAAGGGTGGTAACAGAACTCTTGGGGCAAGCCACCGCGTCGTATTGGCAATCGTGGGGTTCATCATGGGGGGGTTCATCATGGGGGGTTTCATCATGGGGGGGTTCATCATGGGGGGGTTCCTCATGGGGGGGTTCCTCATGGGGGGGTTCCTCATGGGGGGTTTCTTGGTCCCAACGAGCGAGTTTTCCGTTAGAGAATGTTCTGAGCTGACGTTGTGTCCGGTAGCAGATCCGGTAGCAGTCATTTCCTCCCAGCGGCTCCACAAGGGGTCCCAGACGTGTTTGAAAGGCTCCCAGACTTTCCGTGGTCCGCTCAGACGCGGCGACGGCTGCGATATCTGTCGCATTGCGTCCCAGCGGCTGTGTGACGCCTTTAGCGGTGACGCCTTTAGCGGTGACGCCTTTAGCGGTGACGCCTTTAGCGGTGACGCCTTTAGCGGTGACGCTTGCCAGTGGGGTAGGAAATTCGGTAGTGACCAATCGGTAGTGGTACATGACCGTCAGTTT